CTCTTAAAAAGGAAAATGAACAAAAATGAATGAAAAGTAGCTTTACATTATCTTCCCTACACAAACATGGCTCTTTAAGAAAAGATCACATTACTGACACAAGGGTTTCCAAGGGCATTCTGATCTTCTTAAAGAGGAAACATTACCCGAGAGGTTTGTTCTCTTTTGGAAGAAGAGGAACAGAGGGAATCTCCAGATCTTGTAACTAATTTAGTAGCACTGATCAATAGACTGCCCTTGTTAAGCAGAAGTTCAACATGTCTTTTGGGAACCAAGGTTATCTACATGGCATCACGGTCACATTGATGAAAACTCATCTTAGATAAGTTTTCAGGTACAGCAGAGACTTCCTCGTAGAAGAGAGACTTCCCAAGCCACATAAGTGCTGGGGCTAATATGAGCCATAACAGCAGCCTACTTGAGCTGCTTCTGAGRTGCAAGCAGTCACACATCCAGTTACCTCATTCATTCTTCAGGTAGGAGGGGAAGAGAGAGAAAAAAAGATAAAAAGAAAATTAGATGTGATATAGGGCTGTGWTTCAGTGATTCACAGCTACTGCAGCAGTTGCACTGAATAGCTGGCACAAAAACAGTTCATTAACAAAGTTAATTTTGGAAGGCAGATATTAAGAGGTGACAGTCACACWGCTCCCAAGATTGGTTTTATAGAATAAACACACATGCTAGGGAAAAGGATTGTGAAATGGGGAAGGGAGAAGGAGAAGTTCCTGGCCAAACAAGAACACTTACCAAACAGCATCCGTAGTTTGACGTTGTGACATTTAGGAGCCTGGTTGAAGGGGATCCCTCAGCCATTCCACTTGCATGAGAACGTGACAGAGCCTTTATACCTCCCTTTCCAAGTTTAAGCGTGCTTTAAAATGCACCTTTTGTTACAACTGTAAGGTTAACATTCCCATTTGCACTGACATTACTGGTTTGACACTTCTGCAGCACCACTGCTACTCACTCACATTTGCCATTGTCATCAGGACCTTAGTTTATGGCACAAGAAGCAGTTTCTGCTGTAAAAAGCTTTCTTCCTCTCTCAGCAATAGGACCTGCTTATAAATTTATCATGCTTATTCCTTTTTTTATTTCTATCAAAACTAATTGGAAGTTATCAACAGAAGACAAACTGATTGACACAATCTTAGAAGAAAAAATAGGTGTGGTTTTATTAGGGATAGGAAAAGCCTGAAGCAAAGGGAAAAGAAACAACTACATGTTTGTCTGCCAATTATTGTGCAATATGGCTATGCTAACATTTCCATGAAAAAGACAGGCAAGCTATGAATCATGACAGAGTGCAGAATTAAAAAGAACCCACTAGCTTTAGAATAATTCACAGTCCATTAAAAAAGTTACTGTGCAGAGCAGAGCAATGTTTGAAATTAATGACAGTCAGAAGCAACTGATTTTTTTCTGTCATGATACATATATGTTTCAACTGATCTTGTAGATAACATACAACCATTTACTCAAAACCAAGAGGAAGATGCAAAAGTTTAACAATCTTGTGGAGAAGCAGGCATAATGAAACTATTTGGAACTATCTTTAATATTAAACCAGATAATATTTAATATCTAATACCTTTATTAGATATTATAGATATTTAATATCTAATATCTTTAATATTAAACACTGTACGAACATTGAATTAAGAAATATTTTTCTCCCTCCCTATCCCAGCCCCCAAAAGCATAAAATTGAGAGTTTTGAAATTATCAAATGAATAGAAATAAATAATGAAGCTCCACTTAAAGATGGCAGTTCACAGTCTCACGGGCTGTAAACATAATTCTGAAGATAGATCTGAGGGAGAATATACTGTAAAATTCCAAAAAGTATAAAACATCAGCTAGGCTCAGAATATTTTTAAAGGAAATACTTTCTATTATCAGGTCAAAACCCCAGAACAAGTGGTGATGGGATAACTACAATAATTTATCTGTCTGGTATGACAAGGGAACAATAACTGATGACAAGAATGACATCTAGAAGAAAAGTTTTATTGATGGCAATTCAAAAAGTCATTTCTCCAARTGTGGAAGAGAGACAATATGCAGTTAAAAAATAATGAATTCCACAGTTACAGCATAAGATGTTTACATAATTTTAAAATGGTATCAAATTAGGAAGAAAAAAAATCAAAGTCACTAGTAAAAATAACAAAAAAATAGCATTAATTTTTCTAGGTGGTCTATGCTAATTCAGTAAAACAGGGCTGGACACTTTTTTTTTGCTGCTTTCATATGTAATTTAAGTGCCCCTACGTCCAACCATCCAAGTGTCACACATCACCTAATTTCTCTATGGAAATAACACATTCAGAAATTAATCCTTGAGTTCAGCCATCAATGATAAACACAGTGATTTACATTGCCTTTCCTTGTTTTAACAAATGGATGCAGACTCTATCAAAATACCCCAAACCCTTCAAAGCAACAAATATAGGTAGTAGATCAGAAATCTATCAGTGGAAAAAGCTACACTGCAAAGCTTTCCAGCAAGGAGTGAAATTAGTAGTTCTTGTACCTTATCAATCTATCATTTTACTATATAGAACTTTTTCCTTTAGGTGACAGTTACTTCTGTACAAAATTATATTAATTTTAGCTCAAATCCAAAACCAGTTTGACTCAACAATTACCTCAGTTTCATTTCAAACAAAAAGGATAAATGATTAAGATACATATATGAGGTTTCATTTCTTAGTTTTCTTTTTTTTTTACATAATTATTTTCTTTTAATTGCTCCCTGGCTTATTCAATCATAGATGATCAGCTGGAAGACTAGTCATTTCAGAATTATGGACTGTGCTGTGTGCAGTAGGTGCTGTTTAGTGAACAAGAATCATACAATTTAACAGGCAGTCAAAAATAATGTATATATCAAAGCAAGTCAAAGAAAAATACTTGAACCTTTACCAACCGTAAAAATTTATATTTTCGGACAGCTTATCAAATCATACAACCTAAATAAAGACAATTATAGAAGAATGCATAGTAGTTCATGCAGGGAGATCAAAAGCATTATTCATAGCTAACCTTGCTCTTAAGAAGAATTAGTTATAATTTAAATCTGCTGCCTGGCTCAGGGATTTTGTTTTACATTTATCGGGAGGAGAAGTACAGAGAAGTTGAGCAGAAAATAAGAATAAAATCAGAAGGTGAATTTACTAAAATATTTGAGGAAAAAAGGGAAAAGAAAAGGCAAATTAAATACCAATGACTACCTAAGAATGATAAAAGGAAAAAAAAATACTCTGCAGAGAAATAAAATCTTTTTGAAGCATAGTAGAGGCACACATAAGAACAAATGACATTTATTTTGGTCATCTTAATGAGAAAGCTATAGGTGGTTATGATGCTGATTTCAATGCCACAGGAATTTGATAAGGCATATAAGTTCAGCAAAAACTGCACAGAAACAGAAGTAAATACGTCAAACAAGTCTAGCGTAAAAATACACATGACTGGTTTTTAGTGAGCAGGTGAAAAACCTAGTATTTTCCCTAGGAAAGAGAGACCGAGAGGCTATTGCAGTGTGCTTGCAGCCTCCCAAGCCACACAGAGTTCAGAGTCTGGTTCTCAGTGTATCAGGGAAAATGTCAGCCAGCAATAATACAATTTTCTCTACAGAATAGTAGAGCTGCCTAAGGAAGGGGGAATTCCTATGAATAGGCTATTTGCCTCCTACACTGACAGATGCTCTGTGCTCTTGGCCTTCCTCCTGAGGCCATGCATTTCAGGGAAGGCCAAACCTGGCAGCCAAACAAGGCCCGCTCCAAGGCTACAATCCTTCCTATAAGACTTTCCCCTGGTCATCAGTAGTCACCCAGACAATTCTCATCTCTTCCCAGAGTTACTGGAAGGGTAAAGCCTGCAAGTCCAAGTTGCTGGGAATTCTGAGGCACTGCAGCAGCACTGCAGCAAACAGATCATCTGCTGGGGATACTGGGCCTTACAGGAGGATACAGACTAGCCACACATTTGATAAATCCCATTTTCCAACAAAAAATGCATTAAGAAAAAGACAGCTTTATATGCTATATATCATCTCCATATTCAATTAACTAAAATACAAAACCTCTTCATTGCTATACTAAAATAGGATCCCCAGTCTATTTTCCAAAGCAAGCCAAGTCTATTCATAAATACTATAGACCAGACATATTCAAAATAAGTGACTGAATAAATGACCCTAAATAAATCAATCACTACAGACACAATCACCATTAAAATACAGTATCATCTCCATCATTTTTATATGTCATAACTATTCTGTAACAAGCTTGTTTAATTTCATTTATCAGCTTGGTTTAAAATAAGAAAAACCTGGATGAGAAATTTTTTGCTCATGTTTCTTAAGCTTAAAAATTAGTGGGTGACAGTTATCAAAGATAAAGCAGTGAAAGAACACTTATGAAACATATGTAGTCTATGTCTACACTAGTTACTAACTGATGCTTCAGCATCACTGAACTAGACTAACTGATTGAATTCACATGAAATACTTCCTTCTTATTCAGCAACCCTTGAAAAAAAAAACTATTATTCCTGAGGTATAGTTGGATAGTGTTTTTGGATGCGTTGTTCTACTGGCTACCCACTTTTGCAACTATATGAACAATCTTATGGCATTTACTTGAATAAAGAGATGGTATGTAATTTGAGGGGAAAAATCCAGGAGGAGACATGATGCTTATTCTATGTCTCTATTGACAGATCTTTTAAGTAAATCAAGAGTGAATAAAGATTATATTCCAATCATAAATTAGGACTTGAATAGCAAAATTATGAAGCTTTTTACATCCAGTGTTTTATAAAGTACCAGAAAACCATAAAGATTACCTATCCACCATTGGTATGATCAGACTTTGTTTAGGAAATGGCTTTGAATAGGCAAATGTCTTCTGAAAGACAAAGACCATCCTCTCAGTGCTGTTACCATTCCTTGAAGACAATGTTGAGGGCTGCTCTTAGACCTACCTGAACACACAGAAAAGCAGCCTGACCATCGTTTTCCACGCTGCAAGTGAGGCTCAGAGGCTGCATCTAAACTGCATCACACTCTCTAGGAGACCACTCCAGGGTGCCTTTCACAGCTAAAAAGGAGGTAGTAATCAGGCAGCTGAACTGAACAAAAGAGCCCATCTCTCCAAAAATATATGTCATTTGTAATAATAAACATAGTCTTGTCAGATATTTTCTTTTTAAGTAGCCTCATACCTCTTAGTTAGAAATTCCCAAGATAACCAACTGTCTAAAGGTCATAATAGTCAAACAGTCACAATCAAATCACTACTATATATATATATTTATATCTCTCTCAAGCATATGCTTCAAACTTTCCCTTTTGGTTTACTTCTGAGAGGAAAAGTATGAAAACCTATTTTAGCAAAAATAAACTGAATGAAGAATTAGAAMATATGTGCTGCAGAGTGAATAGAAAATACGTTTAGATATTGAGGGCTTTAGGAAAATAGGTTTTCTTCTGAAGATTCTTCAAGAATAGTCTCCACAGCTGGACTTGAACCAGTGATTTGCAGGGAACAATTTATTTAGCCTGGATTTACCCTTAAAATGAAAATGAGCTAGAAAAATTATATTACACAAAAAATAGCTTCAGCTAATCCTTTATAATGCACCAGGGATGTATGCAAATTAATTTGATTCTCAGAGTTTAAAACACCGCACAGTGTAAAACCATAAAGTAATTGTCTGGCAAATAATTGTAATGTTTATGTCTGATAATACATATTACAAAAATGGGAGAATTTAGCTACAGTATACTACAGGGACTTATAAAAACACTGTAATTTTTTCAGTGCAAAATAATCAAGTCATGTAAAGAATGATTATGAAAAAATGGAAATATGTGCAGTATCTACATGGAAAGTACTCCACAGAGAAATTTCATCCAAATTCCTTATAGATTTTTTAATAAAATGTCAGTTTAAAAAAAAGCACTACTCTCTAGAAATCTTGCAGAATATTTTCCTTTGGGAGTTATCTGCAGCAAATGATGAGGACCAGGTTAACCTAACAGTGATGTCTCTTTGCATGAGCACATTCCTCTGATATATACACATGCTATCCTGAGAATAAGGCTCATTATAGAACTAATGCCCTTGCACAGTCTAGATTTCTAAATTACATATGTATTGTGAAAGTCAAAGTTTTGCATATACGTCACTTCAACTAGCCATGTTTCCCAGTTCACAGAAGACATGGGGCAGGGAGGCGGGAGAAAAAGGAAAAAAAAACTGTAATCTAACATATCAGCCATGGGAGCAGGTGATTTTTGTGTTTTTAAAATACACTTGGTACTGATGATATGTTTGAGGAACAAGTGTACAAAGATCACTTGTTTTAGCTGAAAAAAGCTTCAGTTTATTTCAGAGAATTTATATAAACTCTGGCAAACACACCTTTGAAATCGTACATGATGAAGGCCAGATGAATAAAATCTTCTGCTTTCTTTATCCTGATAAGGGCCTCTATTTTAAGACAGGCTTGCAAATCCTCCCTAAGCAAGAACAAAGATCACATAAGAACCTGTTGGGGTGACATATGCTGATTTATGATGTCTGTTTTGGCTGATCTTTGCACTTCTAAACCAGCTTGGTATCTAAAGCATGCTTTTCRATCACAATGTTTTCATCAATAGGTGTCTGTGGCACATAGCAAAAAAAGCCAATAGAGCACTGTATAGGCGGGAAATCCTACAACTCATAAGCTACTTGGCAAACATATCGGAAAGTCTGTTATGCTGCATATGCAYGTGTGAGGTGTGACTGGAAACAAATATACTGGCATTCAGAGTGCAATACCTAGGAGAAAGCACAGCAAGATGCTCACTTGCTTTCCAGRAAACATCATCAGCCTAACAGCTGGCACTACGATCCTCTCGTGGCCCTAACAGCTCCTGCTTGCCTCTTTATTGTGACCTTAACAAAACATTAATACACCTGTAATAGAGATGCCATTCACAAATGAAAAGGAATCAAGGCACATGCAGGTAACCTTCATTCTGAGGCAAACTCTGTGCATCCTTAAATGCCCTTGCTGAAAACATGGTGGACTTGCTACCATGGACAACTGTTCACCGTGGTGGACAACCAGTGCTCCTGCTTTACAGGTTTCGCTCTTGTCAGAGCAACTGGATTTAGAGCAGTTGGTTTTAGACTGAAATAAAACTGAAGTGTGGGTTATTCCAGCTCAAAGACAGAGTAGCTCCACTTATTGTCATAAAATCAGCTCTTCATTGTGGATTTAGTTAATTTCTTTGTTACTTATCAGGTCAGCTTCTAAAACAACTTAGATTTTCCTATATAAGGAGCAAAATTTTCTTCCTTTCATCTCCTTTTCTCCCTCCCTGTTCTGCTTGAATAGCTAACATCTTAAAGCTATACTTTAAATTACASTTATAAAATTGTAGAAAGTGTTTGCATAAAGAAGTGAGGACATTTTTTCAGATATTAAGTGGAGAATGTACTATTGACCTTTATTTTGCCATTTATGTCAGCATCTGCTTGGGCATCTCCTCCTCCTGAGTCATTTCAAGTTGATGAAATACAATTTATTCTACATGACATTTTCTTCCATGCCAAGTGTCACACAATGATTATGATGAAAGCCAGGACTGAATATGTACTTATATTAATTAGCAATTATTAAAAGACAGGTCCCCGTGATTACTGCTTCACAGATATGAAAATGAATTCATTAATGAAAGACCATTGCCACCAAGTGAATATCCGATCAGCTTTGGCAGATCAAAAAAGCATATTAAATAAATGAGTAATCAAATGATAAAGTATATCATTTGTATAAATTACTAGAGGACAATCTCTCCTTCTGATTGAGATGCTCAGCCTGACAGGTTATTTCTGTGACTTCACACGACAGGCACATCTTTTGACAGTGAGTCACACTTCTAGAAGGAACACTCGTTAAGACAAAGATTAGAAAACATATTTACTTGAATAACATGATTTCTGAGGATTTTATATTCTTCCTCATAGCTCTTTAGCACATTAATATGCTGTACACTTAACGACAAATTTTCTTATATTTTAACTGAATCGTTTTCTCAAGCACACCATTTTTTTTTATGTGACTTAACGGTAACTCTTTTGATTTGAAAGTGGTTTAGCAAAGCTGGCAACTAGTAAAGGCAAAATTGTGCCTTGACTCCATTTAACCTCCAGACTTTTTTAAAAAAATTAACTTAAAACACATACAAAAGGTTTTTCTGCGTTAGTAAATAAATAAATTACTTCTAAATATCTAACAGGGTTATTCTATAAAATCACGATTCAACAGTGTATGTCTACTTACTGCGATATATTTTTGTCAGATAAAAAAGAGCATAACTCAACATTTTCAGAGTTTTTTTCCTCCCCACAGAAATACTGAAGACACTGGTAATGAATTCTCACTATAGAAGAAAATCAAAAGTATTGTCAGTCCCAAAAACATATTTATTGATATTTAGATACTTCACTAAAAAGATGTATTTTTCAAAGTATATGGAAATTCATGTTACTACTAAAAAACATAAATAGGCAGTACAGTTATAATCAGTCATACTCAAGCAGACCTCAGTATGAAACAGTGTTGTTTATACTAATAACCAGAACACTCAAAAGGAGATAGTCAACTTATACAAAGATTGAAGAACAGATTTTTTTCATTTTAAGACTTTCAATACATTGTTTTCTAATTGTTGATATATTATTTTCTAATTGATATTTTATAACTAGCTTTACTAAAAAAGTATCAATAAACATATATAATACATGCATAAGCCTACTGCTGTATGAGGAAGTAAAAATGTTTCTCAAAAATGTGCATACGCACACACATAAAGAATGCCTTGCAAGATTTCATTGGTGATTGAAACCCCAAATGAAAGACTATTACAAAGTAATTTCCTGCTCTGGGAGAGATTTAAAAAATTGAGGTAAGAAGATCAAGAAAATTCATATTTGATTTTGTTTAGCTTAATAATTATACAGTCTGRCAGTAATCATTTTCATTAATACTAGACATTCACTGGAATTAAAGACTTATCCACAAGGAAGTTACCCAGCAATAAAAATTCTGGAGGATATAATTTAAGCCAGAAAGTGAACAACTTGCATATTTAGATTCATTTGAATACCTGTCCTACTGTAGCTTTGACAGGGATTTCAAAGCTCTGGTTTTCACTCATCATGATTTAGGGACAGGTGACTGCTGGTTTATTCTTTTTGACTGATGTGTCTCCCTTCCAATGACCTGTCTGACCTAACCTCAGCATGACTCTAACACCCAACAGTGACTTATTTCCACAGTTGTGATCATTCATTGAACCAAGACTTGTGTATAATAAGTATCACCTTTACTGAAAGCTATTCATAAGGTCCTTATCACTGCTGCTTGGCATTTAACAGAGCTGATTTAACATTTAACAGATCCTTATCAATTACAGTAATTCCCAGGGCAACTCCTAGAGCCCCTCAAACTGTGCTAACTACTTTGGCCATTCATTCCATTGCTTCATAGGGGAGACGAAGGTCAATGTAGGAAATTTTATGTAATTGGTGTGTTTGATGGAAACTTCCTATTTTTACACTAAGTTGCAAACAAAGTTAATGACATTAGGAGCATAATGTTTCGGAAGTACTGAAAGACAATTATAGTTTTTCCCTTAAAAATAACATGAAATATTATAGGGATTGCAGAGTTTTTTCACAGAGTAGAAATGTCAAAACAACATCATATAGATATTGCAATGATAAGTGCATAATCAGCTCCATTAGCAAGAGTACAGCCAGGAGGTCAACAGAAGTAGTTACTGACCTATAATCAGCTCTTCCAGAGTATTGTTGTCCAGCTGCCCTCTACCTAGTACAAGAACACTCTGCATCTCAGAGTATGAAGCATCAAGTGGCTACAGATTGAGACCACTAAAGCACCACTAAAGGGCACCCTGTGGAGTCAATATCTTTGGAAGATTTTCAAAACTCCTCCGGGACAAGGTCCTGAAGGTTGTTTTGCTCTGAGAAGGAACTGTATTAAAAGACTTCCAGAGCACCTCACGATCTTTCCCAGAACACCAATACTGTTATTGTTTCCAAAAATCAGAACCGATACATACACTTACTAAAAAGCAAAACATTCTGTGATCAGCAGAAATGACAACTTGTTTCCAACAGTCTTTTTTTTCTTAACCTCCCCATTTCACGACACTAATCCCAGACACCACTACCTTTTCCACTTTCACATACCTTATCACTAGCCCCACATTACAAAAAAAATGGAACTCAAGGCCACAAAGATCTTTTTTCCCCAATTCTCTCAAGGTGCTGCGAGGGGCAGCATATATTCCATTAACTTCAACCTGGCTCACCAAGACACACACCTGACGGGCTGGCAGCACGCAGAGCAGAGCAGGTAAATTAAAGTGAGCTGGTGAGCTGATTCCACAGCGCTTTCCCCAGCAGAGCTGCAGTTACATGGCTTTCCTCTACACAGCTGCCAATTTTCACAAAGCTCATGCAAATTTGTTTTGAGGTCTCTGTTAAATGCAGTTCAAAGTGGTCAAATGCATCAAAATTCACTAGACAGACTATGATCATGTGACTTTTGTTTCCCTAGAAGCGAGGATTAAAAAARGAATCCATTTTTTTCAGAACTGTTTAACATAAAAAAAGCATATTTGTATTTTTGATGTAATTACTACAGAGTTAGATGAATCTATTTCTTTTTATTTGCCTTCACTTTTCTCTGCCAGTGGTAAAATGCAAGTGATCTGTTATCAGTGTGCTACCAAATATCAACTAAATTCACACAAAGTGAATTATAAACAGGCATCCCAGGTGAATTTTATAACAAAGGCTCCATTTGCAATCAGTTCATAGAGCCTGAAAAGAAACACTGATTTTCCAAACGTTTGATCAGTTACGTGAGGGAATCTCGGAACAAGCGGCAGCAGCAGAAGTGCAGGGCAGGTGCGAGAGGAGTAGGTGGCTGGAAACCAGCTGCTTTTTGACTGCAGAAGGGCAGCTCCTCCTGATGAAGCCTTCTGCTGCTATTCCTTCACAGGCAYCTGTGTGCAGCATGGATCACATACGGAGAGAGGATTTGACCTGCTTTGCAGTCATTTAAAGCCTCAAATGTTGATCATGCTTTGGGGAACCTGCACTTTACAGGTGTTTGATTGGACAGAGCCACAAGCATAGTCCTTCTGGACACTTGTTACCAATCTGTATAACAACTTTTTTTTTTTCCCCACTGAAAATGGCTTTCGCAGATAGAAAAATTCACCCCGTTCTTCACAGATTTGCTGCTAGGAGTTAGACAAGTTACAGCACCTGCCCACAGACTTCATGCATCTCACTACAACACTACATGTTGTTATGCATAAAAGCCTGTATAAGCCAATGAATTAACAGAACTCTGGCTTACTAAAGCTGCATTTGCTGGCATCATCCTTCTTTACACTTGCATGAAGATTTAGCCACTACAGTCACTAGAATGAGGATATCCCGCCTGCACTTGCTTTGAGAGAAAAAAAAGAGTAGCTCATTTAAGGTCATGTCAATTAAATTCTGGGGGTGAAATCCACTGTCGTTTTTGAGGGAATGAGAGGCAAATCCTCACTGACAGAGTGGGACTAAATAATTTGTTTTGATTTCTCTCCAAAATCAACGTGGAACTAACTTGGGATGTTCAAATGGTAAAGCGTACTTATTTGAATTATTCAGCTATACAATTCGATTAATTGATAATGTTCAATTATTTTGTTTTGCACAAGATCGTTCTACCTGGTAATCCACCATCTTGAATAAACCTCAGAAAAGAGATTAGTATAAAGTTTCCATATACATCTCAATATATATCCTATATTTATACAAATATATTATCCCCTAGCTTCTGATTAAGTATATTCTACTGCAGACTGCTAGCTGTCACAYGGAACATCTTATCTGCTAACCTGCTGATGAAGGAAATAAATGCAGCAGGAATAAAGGCAAAGTCACAGTGAATGCTGTGAAGTAGGTGTTCAAGTCTGCGTTCTTCAACATGTGTAAAACTTCTATTTCAGTAACAGTTCTTGAATTTGGGATGATCCACAGAACTGTATTTAAAGAGAGGGCACAAGTTGCAATAYGTGGAAATTTCCCAGGAATATATATATGTGAAAATGGGCAACTACTACTGGAATGTGCCAACCAATTGAGATAAAATGTGTCATTTTCAATAATATTTTGAAAAGCATTTACATTGGGAAGTGTAAGAGCAGGCACATATTTCATTTCTGTTGCCTTTGATTACAATTGAATAAGCCATATACTATTACACAATTTGGATAAAATAGATTTGTTAAACTATATATTCTCCTACACATCTACAGTATGGATGTAAGATATCTCTCATAATCTAGCTTTAGACAATACATGCAGCAATTTCTATGAATTCCTAATCCACCCAACATTAGTAGACACACTTGAACATCTTTCTGTATCCACGCTATATGTAATTTTACATATTAATGCAAAACGCTTATGCTTTTCCCATCCTTTAGCCCAACCTCAGGGCGCTGCAACATAAATAACGAGTTCTGTGAGACCTAGCTATAAATTGGGAGGGACCTGTGAACATCTCCTTAGCTGGCAACTGGGCTCTCTAGCAACATTAAACATGTGAGAGCCCACTCTGCTGCTCCCCACACGCACTAATGGTGCGGCAAATAACACATCGAGAGCTTCTCGCCAGTGATTGCGCTTAGGGAAGCCTTCAGCACTCCGAGGAGAGGATTTTCTGGGAGCTTGTTTGTTCAACAGCTGTCCTCGGTCTTCCTGGTAAAATAAAGGGCTTTTCCTTCCACACCGAAGGCTGCTGACTCTTCTCTTATACTCACTGCTTTTGTTTTGATCTCTAACCAGCACTGATTTTGTTTCCTTGCAAGAGTGAGGATCAGACCTGAGGCATCAGAAGTAACCACTAAGCTGTGCAGCCCCTGCAGTAGTTATAGAGAAGAGAGCTCTAATTACACAGCTGAAAGTTTACTTGTATTAATTTCATCCTGAAACAACTATCCTCTTCAAGATTTCAACAATATCATTTCATCATTTTGCCTTGTTCTGATCTTCCCACCTCTTCCCTCCAAGAGGATTTTTCTAACATAATGTGCACATATGCATGGAACACCGGAGTGCTGCAAAGGGACTGCTAACCACATCAACGAGTAAACACAAATTCAGTAAGATGCTGAAAACAGTCTAAAAAGACCTGAATATCACCAAATACTTAAAAGTGCTTTTATGAGTGGAGGATACTTAAGGAAAGCATACAAAGTGTTATGAAACCATAGCATTATGTTCTTTTCCTCTTTTCACTAAAACTGGAACTAAAAAAATGATTTTGGTAAATGCAGACGATTATAAAATT